CTTGGTTTGAGACACCCCCGGGGTCTCAGAAATTTTTTCAGGGCACCTACTCCCACCCGTGCGAAACAAAACAAAACATCAAAACCAAAATCAAACCTAGCCGTTATGTTTAGTAAGTATTAGGTCAAAACAACCCTTTTTTAAAAATTTTGTTTAATGTTTATTTATTGTGGAGAGAGAGAGGCAGAGCACAAGCAGGGGAGGGGCAGAGAAAGAGGGAGACACCGAATCTGAAGCGGCTCCAGGCTCCGAGCTGTCAGCACAGAGCCTGATGTGGGGCTCGAACCCACCAACCGTGAGATCATGACCTGAGCCCAAGTAGGACGCCTGACTGACTGAGCCACCCAGGCGCCCCTAAGGTCAAAACAACTCTTAAATCTGCATGTTCTAACAACTTAGTAGCCACTTGCAAAATACACAAAAGCTGAAAGAAAGAGTAATATTTTAGTTCCTTCCTGAATAATCCTAAGTACACCCTAATGGAATGAGAGCTTGTTGGACTCTCAACAACTCAACCCTTGGAATTACATTGGTCATTACCATCCTAATTTCCTGCTCCACAGTAATTTTCGCATTATACTTGTTTTTTATCGAAACTGCCATCAACCCAGCTCTACCGAGTTGCAACATCATCCGAAGGAATGAAGCTCCGACATTGAAAATGCGAACTACCTAGAGCTAGCAGTTTTCAAGGTGTCCGGCAGGTGTCGCTGTGGACCTCTCAAAAAGCTTCTGAACTGGTCTGCGGTCCCCTGGGGCACCTGCGCGCAGTCTGAGACCTGCCCACCTAATAACGGAGCGACGTGGACACGGTAGGTACTCAGTACACTCAGCTCAGTAGCTGTGAGCTTTATCGCCATTCTGCCCCACTCGGCGAGCAGCGATTTGCAAGGCCAAAGTTCAGGGAAGGCATAAGGCTTCCCCCTTGGCCATCAGAGACAGCACAAGAGGGGGTGCCCTTTCAGCCAATCTCCGTGCTCTCTTGGAAATCAGTTACCACCCCCATCTCAGGGTCCCCCTCTATTCAGACTCAGACTTTTCTTCCTCCCAGCCCCTCTACCCTTTAGCCCTTATTGAACAGTGGCTGGCGTATGCAATGTTCGTCCGCTTTCTCCTTGAACACCTCAACAGCCTCAGGAGGTAGGGACGTCTATCCCATTTTACAGCTGAGGAAACCAGGGCTCTAGGAAGATATGTAACCTGTCCAGCTGGTGCATAGCAGAGCTAGGATTTGAATCCAAGTCCCCCGGATGCCAGAATCCAAGCTCTAACCACTATTCCATGC